GTAGGTGGTTATATTATATTTAATGTCATATTAATGTCATGTCAGTGAAAAAATAAACAGAAGTCATTTAAATTATTGTTGTTTTTTTACTCTGAGGAATATAACAGTTAGTTTATTTATAAAGTGTCCTAAAAAAAAATAAAAAATTGTCACAAAAATGTTATTCAGTTCCACAATGGTTGATATAAATATTTAAAAATTTAATTTATAAATAGGAATATGCGATTATGGCAGTGTATATTTCAGAGAAATTCATAATTATGCTTATTTACGATGTTAAAGGCTCAAATTATTGTAGGTGCCCCCTAGTGTTTTGTTTGATTCTTTTGTCTTTTTTATTTTCATTTTCTATAATGAAGTAGTATTTGATATGATTATATTTACTGTAATATTTTATTGTCAGGGAAAAAAAAATATTGTTATTAAATTATTTTTTTACTCTGAGGAATATAAAATTTAGTATATATATACAAGTGTTCTATTTATTTTTTAATTAGAAAAAATAATTAAAAATTGTCTTTTATTTACACATTTTCTCGAATGATGTTGTGTTTGATATGATTTTATTTAATGCTTTATTTTGATGTCTCTAAAAATTAAACACAAGTCATTCAGTTTATTACACTATGAGAAATACATTTTGTTTACACAAATGTGTCCTTTTTATTTATTTATTTTTGACTTTAATTGGAGCAAAAAATATTATTGTAATTCAGTGTAACAATGGTTTATATGCCAAGCAAAAAATTATTCAATATTAACAGTATATCCACAAACTTAACCACTGTCCACTATTTAAAAAAAAAATATTTTCAAAATCTATTTTGAGGTGGAGGTGAAGTTAAAAAATACACTGGTAACGATTTTTGTAAACAGTATTTATCTGTAATATGAACTGTATTTTACTGTAGGACAGTTTTGCGGTATGTTACTATACATTAAAGTTGAATTGTGAAAATGACTATATTTTACAGTAAAGATATACATACAATTCTGTAAATACATATATAGCAAAAAAAGTGGTGCTGTACATGTAATATTGACATATATACACTGTAAAACCCACCTGTCAACTTTATCAAATGAAATGAGTGTAGTTAAATCAAAATTGACTGAAGGTTAATTCTATTCACTTGAAAAGTTTTGTACTTAGTGATAAAGGTAATGAGTTAAATAACTCATTACTTCAACTTAAATGAAACAAGTTCACAGTACTCATATAGATTAGCTTTTTAACTCGCATGGTTTGATGCAATCTGTTTGAGTTGCCTTAACTTATTGGGTGTTACAATACTGAGTTGGTTTGAGTTCTCTTCATTTATCGGATTGTACTGTGCTCAAATTGCTTCGTTTACTCAAATGGATCAAGATCACAGTACTCATTAGGATAAGTTTTTGAACTTATGGTTTGTTGCATTTGGTTTCCTCAAATGGTTTGAGTTATCAACTTTTTAGGTTTTACAGTGCAGTATATTTTTGCTGTAATTGATTTTACAGCAAGTTACTGCCAGTAAGTAACTGTAGAATATACAGGAAATTGTCAACAGTGTAGTTTATATCTAGAAGTTTCCCATATCTGTATATGATCATATTTCTAATGCATTTTAATAGTGCGTTTTAGTTCATTCATCCAAACCCATTATGTTCTGCCTTCCAGCCATTCATCTCGCTTCCTCATCTCACCTGCTGCCCTCCCTCTTCAGTCCTGGCCATTCCCAGCCCCCCTTCATTCCTTTGTCAGGGTCCTGTCTTATATCCAAAGTCCTCATTCTGTCTGGTGCACACCTGAGAACACAGACTATCTCTGAACAAGAGAAGGCATCGGCTGGTCACCCTCTGCCAACCTGCCATGCACCTGTGACTTCATACAGATACTTTTGGATGTGATTTTCTACCCTTTCATCTTTGACCACCTGCTTCAGTCAGGGCTGAGAATCCATGATCATCCCTACCATCACAGCATCCTGCATCTTCCCTGTTTAACACTGGAGGAGATTTGGTAACCAAGGATCTGATTGTCATGGATTGATCTCCACCTGGGCATCTCATCATGACTACAGTGAGTAACCATTGACCTGCAAGTCAGAAGCCTCTACGCTAGTAAATAAGGTTACATGCTGACTTACATTGTGACATTCGGTGGAATTTGAATCTGTTTATTGTCCTAATGATGTAATTTAACCTGTTTCTACCTGGTATTAATGTGTTTTTAGTAAGCCAATCAAAAACATTAACCCAAGCCACATTTCTGTTTTACTTGGTATTAGAATTATTACAAATGAGCTTCTTGTAAATACTTGTGTTTTTGTCAAGATCTTTCCCTCTTGACAGGGAAGGAGGGGTTGGGGAGCACTAAATCTGATGCTTGAGTGTTAAGTTAATCTATATACCTATTACGCACTGTAGCTAGAAGCCAAATGTTTGCCTTGGGTGTTTTTGACACTCATTGAGGAGTATTGAGGAGTTTAACACGTATTCTGATAACTTATAATATCTGTAGTGCCTTCAGGAGTCCGTTCAAATGATGAGTTATATCTCACATAACCATCTTTGTTTCCTTTCACGCTTAAAAAAAGAGGATTCTTTCCTCTGCATATCTAACATCAATGTAGGCATCCACGGCTGCTGTAGCTAGCATGCATTCTGGTTTGTTTAATTAATGCAGATTTCCTTCAACTAGGTTGTGAGCATAGTTGCTACTTTGATACTAGTATACATGGTCATGGTCACAATTAATCGAAGGTAATTTTCATGCTCATTTTCTTAATAAAGCTGGCTATGAAATCAGTATTAAATTCTCAGCACATACTTTCAGATGGAGCAGCATTTAGTTAGTAGGGTCATAGTTTACTCACAAGCTTTGCAAAATGGCATCAATCATTGCAGATGACTGAATCACAAAAAAAATCCTACTACATCGAACTACTTCTCTCACCCGTCCATCATGTATCCATCTGCAAACGTTCCTGCAGGACAGTTGGGTTCCCCTGAACCCAGGCTTCTCATCAAAAAGATGGTGTCACTTGCATTCAGAGACCAGTTGATCAAATCCATAATTCTTTATTATTTAGAGAGCAGGGCAAGGAGAGCCTCAGAGATAGAATAAGATGAGACAAGAGGAGCCAGCCAGGAGAGATATGGGAGCGAGAGGGAAAAAATGAGACCGCCTTCGCCGAGAGCCAAAGAAGAAGTGTGCTTGAAATAACTCTTTCTGTGAAATGATTTTGTAGAGATTATTATTCACAATTAGTCAAGTAAATCTGTTAATTCCGCAACTCCAAGGAATTCCTGGGTTTCTTCTTCAAGACTTATTTGGACTTTCTGCCTGAGAGTTTCTTTTGGCCTTTGGGGATTTACTACTGAGCATAGATACATGTGCTTCTCTTACAAGATGTGCATGATAATTTCAATTCATCACCAAGACCTAGTGTGGTCATAAAAAATCAAGCAGTGCACTTACAGTATGCACGTTCAGTTATGATGGTAAAATGTAGGTCACGTACACTGTATGATTTTGTATTTAGGGCTGGGCGAGTTGGCCTAAATCCTAAATCTTGATAAATTGAACATTTTAACTCGATTACAATCAATGAACGATTTTTTTTGCCCTCATAATTCATTGACCAGTTATGTACAGTAAATATGTTTACATATTACGAGTGAGAGATTTCTAAATGAAGAGTGCATTACTTGACTTAAATAAATAAAGGAAATGTTGAACAACTAAAATTAATACCCACCGCTCACACTCGTCACCTCTATCAAACTGATCACAAAGCCTGTGCTTTGCATCGTCATGACGTGTAGTATTTTTTAGGAAAAGTGCACGGGTATGCGGCAGCGCGAGGGCTGTGCCACACCATACACGTGTGCTCAACATAGAAGTATAAATTAGTCTTAATGGAGCGGGGTCATGTGACTCCACGTGCTAGGTAAAGTAATTGAAAAAAAAGTCTGCCTGGACAAATTAGAACAATATTAGGTTATGAATTTCGGTTACTTTCCGATTATTGTACAGCCCTATTTGTATTAATAAAAATTCCCGGGATAAACACGGCCATATATGTTCTTTCAATATATGTTCTATGCTTGTTCTATATTCTATAATTATGTTTCTATATATATTCAACCTTCTGTGATGTCTCAATAAGTGCATTTGCCACAAACACTGAATATGGATCTTGAGTTGACATAAAAATCCCACCAGGAGATCAAAGGCTGCTGTGTGACGGTGTCTTGTTGAGTTTGACAAGGGGCCCTTCTTCACACATCTCTCCTCTAACCTAACAAGCCTCCGGAGGAAGATCCCCTCTAATTAGGGTCAAAAATAATTCTCAGTTTCTGCCTGCTGTCTGTCACCCTCAGGGTCTGTAGTAGGGTGGTCTTTGTTCACGCCACAAGATGTATTGAAGATTGTGAGAAAGGTATTTAGGTTTAACTTTTAACGTTAAACCTAAATAGCCAGTATGAAAGGGATAGTTATGTAATTCTTGGAATTGCATGACGTCAAACAGTGAACCACTGGTCAAGCGCAACGCTAAATAACTTTGTGAACAGTCAGTTACTGTAGTAGAAAAATCAACATCCACACCAGTGGAAGTCAGCGTTATTTCTGCCACTCTTCTCCATTGCGGTGGCTGTTATGATATAAGGGCACCGAGTGAAGCGAGCCTTTGTTCCATGAGAGTTGCAGGCAATTGAATGAATAAAAGGGGAGGATTGTTCCTTAGTCTGGGTCCCACTGATTACCTGCCAAACTCAGCCTAGCCTTTAATTAAAGTGATTAACCTGTAAGAATGAGGGGGAAAAGTGAGAAAGACAAAGAGAGTGAGTGAGAGTGATTCATAAAAAGTTCTAATATTGTCACAATTTCGGTTGTGGCCAAGTTTCTTTTACTAAAATTAGGATATTTGCATAAGTGGATTCTTAAAACCGTGAAGCATCACTTAAAGATGAGAAGAGAGAAAAGAACAAATGGTCTATTAAAGTTAGAGACAAGATGCAGTAATGATTTTGCTTTCTACACCTAAGTCATGTTTTTTTCCTTCTTCAGATGCCCTCTCGCTTTAGCACTGCGGTGCGGATCTTCATCACCACCTTATTTGCAGCAGTGGTGCTTTTCGCAATCCTACTAGCCTATGTGACAGGTTACCAGTTCATCCACACAGAGCAGCACCATCTGTCTTTTGGCTTGTACGGTGCATTTCTATCCCTCCACCTTCTCCTGCAGAGTCTCTTCGCCTACCTGGAGCACAGACAAATGCGAGGCCCCTCCAGACCGCAGCACCTGCGCCGCACTGTGGCCCTCTGCATTGCAGCCTATCAGGAAGATCCAGACTACCTTCGCAAGTGTCTGCGGAGCATTCGCCGCATTTCTTTTCCCGGGCTGAAAGTGGTGTTGGTGGTGGATGGCAATCGGCAGGAGGATGCCTACATGATGGATATCTTCCAGGAGGTGATGGGGGGAGTGGAGCAGACAGGCTGTGTGGTGTGGAAAGGGAATTACCACAGTAACGGGGATGGAGGAGGAGGAGGAGGGAAAGGCTCGGTGCATGCCGAAGAGGCTGCACGAGTGGCCAGAGTGGTGCGGAGCTGCCGTTACTCCTGCATCATGCAGGAATGGGGTGGCAAGAGGGAAGTGATGTATACAGCCTTCAAAGCACTTGGAGATACAGTGGATTACATGCAGGTAAGTCTAAACCTCATTTAACAACCAAAAAAAAAATCGAAAACATACCTCTATGCTTTTTGATCTTGCCTGTTACTCTTTTTTTTATGCCTACAATTAACTAACTGTTCATACTCTAGTCATCTCAATGTCCCTGTAATCTGAATCCTTGCAACACTAAGGTCAAAGGTCAGTCCTTTAAATTCACCTGTAGTTCCGAGCACACCTGTGTGCTGTCATCAACTATTCATTGTTTCGGCGTATAATGTGCATCTTCAGAAACAGAAATGACCTTGAAACATCTGTGAACCTCTCTTTACAACAGTCCTTGCATTGTTCACACAGAGATTGTTAACATGAGCCTTACCTTCTGGAAATTAGTCAATATTTGTATACGAGTTAGTGAGGAAGTCTTCCAAGTAAGTATCTCTTGCTTTGTTTGTTTGCAGGTATGTGATTCAGACACTGTACTTGATCCAGCATGCACTATTGAGATGTTGAAGATTCTAGAGGAGGATCCTGATGTGGGTGGAGTTGGAGGAGATGTTCAGGTAATAATTTTAAGGCACTTTGTAAATATGTAGAAACATTTCAACAAATTAATTTGAGAGGATTACATTTGATCTCATAGATATATACATTAGATATCGCCTGGCCTATTGTCTATTGGACGGAATCCAAAGCCAGAGATATACACATATACACATATATCTATGATCGGGAGTTTTCCTGGATGTTAGTATGTAATTTTTTTTTTCTAATTACGAAAATTATAATTTTACATCACTTTTCTACATTGATGGATCAGTCACCGCACGGGCATTCCTGACAAAAAGCTTGTGTTTGTGTGTACAGAAATGTACTATTCACCCTCCCTATTAAATTTGATCTAATCATGTCCTGAAACACAGCTCCTCTCCTGCTTTCACTTCTCATACTGACGGAGGGAGCGATTCGTTTGTGAATGAATCCCCGGAACGACTCTTTCACTAACGTTAGCCGACAATAATACGAGTTTCTGGCAGCGCAGCATCTCGTTGTCATATTTCTTTTGCATTGTTTGCTGATTTTATTCAACAAAACTAGCATAAGCCGAGTGTTTAGTGCGAGTTGGAGCTGCTTTGCCTTATATGGTGAATGCAGTAAGTGACTGTTATCATCAATAACGTTACCTGATTAGCACAAAAGTTCAGAACATACAAAAACAGAAAAAAACGTAATATTACCTATGAAATGTTCTGCCTTTGTGCTTTGTTTTCTTTGTTTGCTCGTTACTACAACCGTAGACAGCGCTAAAGTCCCGCATCTTCACGTAATAACACTGTCTTGACTAGTGCGGTTGAATGACATTCTCCTGGGAGCACTGTACCAATGTGGCTGTGCTATTGACGCATGCTCAGGGTCCCTATGCGATATCTAGTGTATATATCTATGATTTGTTCTCTGTTCATTGTTTCCTTCAGATTCTGAACAAGTATGACTCCTGGATCTCCTTCCTGAGCAGTGTCCGCTATTGGATGGCCTTCAATGTGGAGCGGGCCTGCCAGTCTTATTTCGGATGTGTGCAGTGCATCAGTGGACCTCTAGGAATGTACCGTAACTCTCTCCTTCAGCAGTTCTTAGAGCCCTGGTACCACCAGACCTTCCTAGGAAGCAAGTGCAGCTTTGGTGATGATCGACACCTCACCAACCGCGTCCTCAGCTTTGGCTTCAAAACCAAGTTCACGGCACGATCTCAATGCCAGACTGAGACCCCAACACAATACCTGCGTTGGCTCAATCAGCAGACCCGCTGGAGCAAGTCTTACTTTCGAGAGTGGCTCTACAATGCTCTTTGGTTCCACAAGCACAGCCTGTGGATGACCTATGAATCTGTGGTTACTGGGTTCTTCCCCTTCTTTCTGGTGGCTACAGTCATCCACCTGTTCTACAGAGGCCGGTTGTGGAACATCTTACTCTTCTTGTTGACGGTCCAGCTGGTGGGTATGGTGAAGGCCACCTACGCCTGCTTCCTGCGGGGCAGCCTTGTCATGATCTTCATGTCACTCTACTCACTGCTCTACATGTCAAGCCTGCTCCCTGCTAAGATCTTTGCCCTGCTGACTATTAACAAAGCAGGATGGGGCACATCAGGCAGGAAAAAGATAGTAGTAAACCTTATTGGAGCTGTGCCTGTTACTGTGTGGACAGCCATTCTGCTTGGTGGAGTGGTTTACACCATTTACTGCGAGGTTCAAGAACCTTTTACCGAGACTGAGAAGGCTCTTCTTATCGCAGGCACCATTGTCTATGCCTCTTACTGGCTTATACTCCTGGTGCTCTACCTGGCCATAGTGGCCAAACGTTGTAACAAAAGAGAAGAACAGTTCCACCTTTCCTATGCCGAAGCCTAGCATGGTTTATATGCTGCCTAAATGCTGTCGGGGCTTATCTGAAATGGCCCTATAATACATGGTGCTGCAATCCTGGTTATAATTATGGATCATGTGCAAGTTTAAGACTGTCAGTTGTTTTAGCTATGTTAGCTACAGCTACTCGTGAAGTTTCAAACAGTCCATATAAAATAATTAAAAGCTTTTGAAAAAGCCATGATTTACATGAGCTGAAATCAGGAATGGTGCTTCTTGTGTTTATAAAGCACACAGAGGAGGCACCGGCTGAGGTGGGCACAAAACTTGAGCCAAAGTTTAGCATAAAACTGATAGGTAATGTAGTTACAGTAAGTTGGCATGGTCATGTTATTTGTGTTTAGACTTTGAGAAATTTAAAGGTTAGAGAAAAGTGTGCACCTCACTAGAGGAAACCTGCATAGGACCCTAAGCTGGTCTTACTTGCCAAATCCAGTCAGTATTTTATTGTCTTCTTTCTGACAATCCAGCATACTTTATCTTTAGAAATTCTGGTGCTGCTGATACTTTTGTGGCGGAGCATGAACATTCAATAAACAAACAGCATTTAACTTTTAATTTTAATTTAGTTCACAAATATTTGCTACACTGTATATATTTACAGTGCATAAAGTAACTCCAGTCCCAGGAATGGATAATGTCAGGCAAACAAAGAGGATTCTTTTCTAGCATTTAGTGTGCTTTATTCTACCATGTCCAGTGGAAAAAGTGTCACATGGTCTCCTAATATTACTCCCATTCTCCTTTTTACCCATGAAAGTCTTAGCACAACCATCATTTAAAACAAATACATTGTTGTTATTATTTTCACTATTTAGTGAAAGTGTTGCAATTAACAAGGACATTAATATTTAACCCACCCCCCAATCTCAAGACAATAGAATTAAGGTACATTCTGTTCAAGTTCTAAGTAGGGATGCTCATTTCGGTTAATTTTGCTAACTGACACCGTTGATCGTTAATCGGATATTAACAGTTAACTGGTCACATTACTATTAAATTATTATTTAAATTTTTTAAACAAATTAACGTGTCTATTTTGTGTCTGACACATTAAATATTGCATTTTAAAATACTGATTTATTTTAGCATAGCATATAGTAACAGAATATAACAACAGAGCATCTTTACGCACCTGCTGTGTTTCCTAAAGCATAGAAAAACAAAATAAAATTAATAAAATAAATAGGCCTGCCCCAAATTATTTTCACTAAATAATTCATTTAGATTACAAAATGAAAACACTGAGTGAATCCTTTATAAAAACTGGCATAGGCTGTCTTTTTTCCAATCATGTGTTTTTGTCTTCCGTCAAATAAAAATAACAGACTTCCTCAAATCGCTCGCTCCACGGAAAATATGCATTGATTTAATGCCCCGATGTTATTATTATTATTATATCACAAAACTTTTTTACCTTTTTAATAGAAATCATTATTTTAAAGATTACGTCTTGCTACATTGTTTCCTCACTTACTTGCGGTTCAAGTGCGCCCGCTGCGTAATGTAAAGACAATACTGACAACATGCGCATATGTTGAGTTTTTGTAAACAGTTTTGTTGTTAGAATATGATATTGCATTAACTTGCATACATGCTTTATAAACTGTAAAACGAAAGCTAAAGCCTATTTGTTGTGTTAATGACACAGATCCAGGAGGCGATCAGCATCAGCGCTGGTTTGGCATCAACTCGTCTGTATCAAACAGCAACATTCTTCCATTTTGCTTCTTTGCCAAATATGTGTGTAGGCACGTGTGGTCATACGTTATCACTCCGTCCCGCGAGTTAACCAATAAGTCTGATCACAGCAAACATGATTTTCCATTCCAAAAACGTAATGTGCACCTCACTCCTTTTATGTTGACAAGGAAAAAAAGGTATATTTAAAAATATTGTGATATTTAAGATTCTTAAATTCATAAAGCTCTGGATAACTTGAAACAGCGAGCACTATTCTCTCCTACATCTTTAAAAGTTCTCTGTAGTTGTCAGAAACTGCTGCTGTGGGATGAGCCGCGTGCAAAACACTTGGGGCGGTTAGTAAACCATTCAAAAGACGCCCCTCTTAACGCAAAAAGCGCATTCAATCAATAAAATAATATTTTTTTAATCGTTTAGCTGATAACATTAATCGGTCACCTATTCGGTTAACGGTTAATCGATTATTTTGAGCATCCCTAGTTCTAAGCCCAAGCAGCGATGGATGAAAATATATACTGTTGAGTTGAAGTAACGCATAATTTTTTAATGTAAACTTTGAATAATATTTTAAACTGTATATTTATATGGAGGTTTATAATTTAAGTGTTGAGCTTAATCACCTGATTCAATGTTTAACCTCAGAAGCATGTTGTTTTGATGATATAATAATATTACTGCTTTTTCCCACTTAAAAATGTATATTAACTACATACGGGCCTAATATCTAGTTTTTGCATTTTAACTTAATATTACAGAATACAACCACCTTTGCAAATCCTAACAATATTATTAATATAATTCCCATTAGTTTGTTTGAAATGTTCAGTTAGCTAGAGAAATTAATTTAAATTAAAAACCAACTGAATTAGCTTTATGGTATGCAAAGCTAGTATTTCTGTTGTTTTTCCGTCCTCAGCCTACCCAATGCAACAATTAGTGCATTTACAATTTAACTTTTTTTTTTTTTGACAATTTACAAACCAGTTCAAAATGAATGCTAACGTTTTCTTCTCCCTTCCCCCCAAAACAAATTAAACCCTTGGCACAGATCTAAACACTGAGGCTAGTGTGCAAATATGTGCATGGACAAGTTTAAAGAGGAGCTTAAGTTTATGAAATGTTTGCCTACTTCTGCTTGTGAATTACATGTGTGAATACTGCGTCTCAACTGTGGGCTGCGGCATCCTAAAGGGTGCAACATTACGACGACTCTGATGCAATGCAATTATGAAGCCTGAACTATATCATTTGTTTACAATCAAAATGCAGTCTTGATCACGTTTATAGATTTTATACAATTCAGTTTATAACCTTTAAGACTGATATGCTCCTCAGGAACAGAAATCCCTCAGAGCGAGGGGCTTAAAAATGAAAACATGGACATTTAATGGGTTAGCAATACACTGTAGAGGCAGAATCAGAGCCACATTTACGGTGGGAAACAAATAGCTCTGCTGCCTGCCAGACACAGAACCAGTAAGTTAATTTGAAGATGGTGAATTATATTTAATTAATAAATACTAGATTTACACCAGTCATTTCAAGTATAGTGTAAAGTAATATATTTTTTATAATGTAAATCTCAAAGATATTTTAAACGTGCACAAATCTAGACACATATCAGTGTATCTACATTTTTTTTCTAGGAAACTTTATTTTTTGGAAAACATGTTAAGTTATTTTCATAACGCTGTACAGATTAGAGAATAATAAATTGTTCATAGTCCATCATAGGAGAGGTTAAGAGTCTTTAACCATGATTACAGTTTGCCACTGGCAGCTTGTTTACTCACAGAATCAAATATTCAAGTCATGAGTTGAAACCATTTTGTTTGGGTTTCATACCGAACCTACAATACCTGGAAATGGCCAATCAAGGTCTTTTAATCTCATTTGAACTTTACATATTATGTGCATTCTGGTGTGTACAAGAAACTAGATTCTTTAAGTTTGGACATTTTCCTTGTAACTGATGTTTTGATACAATAAACTTGAATTCAAAAGTGAGCACTTCTTCTTTTTTGTTGTTGAAATTCACTTGAGGCTTATTATTACAACACTCTTAATCACATACTTCTTTATTATTGTCAGAAACACATTCCTGACAACAATGCATGTGTGCAGTAAATGCACTAACTTCATGATCATTTAGTCTCTGATATCGGGATACTAGCTATACCTTCTTTGGCACATTGGTGATGATGGGTTTGGGTCTGGTTTTAAATATCAGCTTCTTTTTGATGAGGGCCGAGACGGTGTAAGATGTTGGTTTCTCTTGGTTGGTTTCCATGTTTTCCTCCGCATCCTGAGGGAGTCCGGAGTGCTTCATCAGAACAGCAAACGGCTTCTCCAATTTGACCTGTTTGCCATAAAGGATGTGATGTCCGACTATAAGGATTGGTACGCCCTTGGAGAGAGAACAGATCAAGAATATAACACACATCAATTAAAATAGTCATTAAAGTATAACATTTAAGGGATAATTCGTCCAAAATTGGAAATGTACTCACTTCAAGTAGTTCAAAACATCTTTTGAGTTTCTTTTTCATTTTTTTTTTTAAATTGAAACAAGATATTTTGATGAACATTAGAAGTCAGTGGCACCCAGTTTCCAATATTCTTCAATGTCTCTTGTATTGTGTGTTGAACAGCAAAAAATAAACTCAAAAGAGATTTGAAACAACCTGAGGAAGAGATGACATTTTTTTTGCAAACTATTCCTTTAGAGTCAAACTTTCTTTAAATAGTGAAAGGGAACCTATGATGAAAATCATCTTTTGTAAGCTGTTTGGACAGAACTGTGTGTTGGTGTAGTGTGTCCACAGTCACACTGGGGTGGTATAAAGACAACAAGTCTCTTTTTTTAATTTCCTGACATTAAAATAGAATCCAAATCCCTCCCATTTTAAGGTCCACCACAATGTGATGAAGGAGTGCGGTTTTCCAGCCCAACTGGGATTAAAAGATCTGTTCAGCTCACTGTGATCATCAATCCTCAATAAATGTGATGAAGAATGAGTTTTTCAAGTTTAACACGTTTTTAAAACAATGCATGTTTGTAATGAATTACAACAATTTTACCGTCTTTAATTTATCACCACAGCTGTGTCAATTATAAATAAAGACACTTCAATCCCTGTTTGTGGACTTTAAGTCAGGTTTATTTTAAACATTAACATGATGGATATCCATACAGCAGTGGATATTAACTTGTGTCCTGTTACATTTGCTTTGCAAAGTTAAATGTGTGTGTGTGTGTGTGTGTGTGTGTGTGTGTGTGTGTGCGCGAACTTTGTAACGACATTGTGTGCGACTCATTGCTG